AATTCTAAGCCGGCAGTAAGTCGGGTTAATAGAGGAGGTTAGGTGTGAGGTTAGCGAGCTGACTTCATGAAAAAAGAGATATCTAGCTGACATAATAGTCAATTGTGATAAACCGACAGACGCCATAGAAATCCTGAATCAGATCAACAGAGTACAAAACAGTATATCGCTAACATACCTTAAAGAGAATAATGGTTGTCTGCCATTTTTAGATGTACTTATAAGCCACCACCGACGAGATGGATCAGTGAAACGATCTGTCTACAGAAAGTCCACATGGACAGGACAGTATCTAAATTATCATAGTTTCTATCCGCTACAGTATAAAAAGGCGTTGGTTAAGTGTTTGTTCAAGCGCTTTCACCGTATATGTACACTCCCGCGATATAATTGAAGAAGAAGAACAACAGCTCACTGAAATATTGTTAGATAACAATTACCCGCTGAGATTTATTAGGCATTACGGAAGTACCAACCATCATAGAGCTCTACCAATCCAATCAGCTTCTTACCGTTCATGGGTGATCAAAAAAGTCTGGTCACTAGACAAATACTCAAGGCCACAATTAATAGAACTTATTATGCAGCTAAATTTGTCTTCATAAAGAAAACAAGAACTATGGTGTCCTGTAAACCCTCACATTATCCGAACGATAGTGTCACATCCCACTGTGTTTATCGATTTACATGTATGTGTGGAGACACGTACATAGGCAGGACACCATCGGCCTCTGCAGGTTAGGGGGGTACTGAACACATTCCAAAGTGGCTGCAACAACAACAAATAAAATCACCAGACACAATTGACCCCGGAAATAGATGTCCAACATCATCTATAGCGAAGCATATTATAGAGGTGGGTCGTAAGGTTGATTTCAACAATGCTTTTAATCTCATATATAAAACAAGGTTGGACCACACACTTTAATTCGTTGAAGCCTTAGCCATGAAAAGACTTAAACCTGTCTTATGTGTCCAAAAGTTATTTGTTACCACTTTAAACCTGCCTTGGTAATCCAATTTAGAACCAAGGTCCAATTTACTTTATAATATTTTCAACTCCTTCCTTGCTTTGTTTCTTCTCTTTTTCTCTCTCTTACTCACACCTTTGCGTCTCCCTGCCGATTATTCGTGACCTTGACCTGTACACAATCTGACGTGTATTGTAATTATTCATGCCTTCTTGCCTTTCATAAAAACTGTGTATGACAAGTACGCGGATGTGTGTGATTAGAATGTCCGAAATGTATTGCTCGCGAATACATTACACGTTTCAGATAAACTACGTCTTCCTATAATGTTGTCGAAATTCATAAAGCGAACTAACTGCTTTAAATGCACCTCTGCTACTGAAACTTTATAGCTTTAGCTTGAAACCCTGTGTTTCACTTGAAACTCAAAGAAATGGAAATTTGACTAACTGTGGTTTACCAAACGCTAGTGTTCTCCAGATTGCTAACATTCCAAGTGTATTATCTGTAATTCACGTGAAATAAACAATGTGTGATAATTGAACTTCGATGGTTATTGTATTGAGATTTCGAACTTCCGTTTTAGTATTGATCTTTTATGCATGTATATATTACTGTGTGTGTGTGTGTGTGGAGAGAGAGAGAGAGAAACCAATCCGGAAATCTTCGTCATTCAACTCAGCATCAACAACAAAATTCAGTCGGATTTTCAATACAAACAACGTCAAGTTAGTCAGTCCTTCTATACGGATCAGAAATTTGACAGGCGGGTCACAAAGAATGCTTCCACCAACAGCCTGTTGCAGACCTTTATAAACAACTGTCTTCGCTCTTTACTGAAGATCAATCAGATGTCCGGAAACAATCGCCAACAAGAAACTATGGGAACAAACAAAGCAAGAACCAATCGCCAACCAACAAATATGCAGGCGAAAGTGGATTGAGATGGATTGGACACTCTCTGAAGAGGCAGCTGGGTGACATCGCGCGTTAGGCCCTCAAGCGGAATCCGAAAGGGAAGCGGCGAGTGGGACGTCAGTGCAAGGATGACATGGAGGAGATCGTGTGAAGAGGAGTTGAAACAGTCAGTATGGACCAACAACATGGATGCAGGTGAAAAGTACAGCAGAAGGAAGACAGAAGTAAGTGGAGACGTGCAGTTGAAGCCCTATGTTCCACACTAGGAACCCAAGGGAACAATACTAATAATACACGACTTACGTTACCGACCCCATCAAGAGGTAATGTTTGAGTCCTGTGAGGACAGTAGGCTTGTTGGAAACTTTTAGATGTGTAGAAGTAATGTCTTTACACAGAGGTATGCATCCGCTGTTCACAGATATGTGTACAAATATTCAGGCTGTCATTAGAGAAAATCTTTCCGTGAATATGTGTTTTTCTTTCTTGTGTTCTGTAGAGCAGTGAATGGGTCATGTAACAACATGATGTACAGTTATCAGGATGCTTATATCTACAAGAATAGGGTTCGACTATTCATCACTGAAGACACTTCAATGAGGAATTGGGAGATTTTCTTTGGAAAAATACGAAAAAAACTAACCCGTATTATTTTTCTTTTAAACATCTGGTTGGTTGATTAAGGCCATTATGTCCGTCTATTGGATAGTTTCATTTCGCCCCACTATAGTTTAGAGTTTCTATGTATTCTTCTATAAGTCTTGACCTAGGTCCAAGGCTTCCTGCCGATCGCCACCAACTATCTAAAGTCTTCGACTGTTAGTTTTTAGCCACATAGGTGATTTAGACTACCTGGCTGAGGTTCGTCGAGGCTATAAGAATCAATAGCTGGAGACCATTGGGAGGGGGGGGGAGTGGCATGACTCAAAATTGTTCACTGTGTGTCAGATGAATTCACTGTTTACAATCCCTTAGATCCGTCAAAAACTCCTGTAGATTTCAGCGTATTACTATTATTATAGTGTGTGGGTGATTGTTACTTCCTAGCTGCGCATACTGAGGAAGTTGACTTTTCTTGTGGCACACGTGAAAGCGAACAACCCCGTGATGAAAACTGCTTGAATTGGGTTTTTGGAATTACATCCCTATTAAGATCTTACTCCCAGCTAAGAACTGTCACAATGGAAAATCGGGAAGTAGAATTATTTAGTCCCCTGACCCTCTATTCGATGGTCATCTGAGGCAAACACCTTATTGTGCTTATATCCTTGTGTTTTTTCCCCAGGAGTATGACTTTACCCATAGACTACAAGCATAGTGGAAACATTTCACACTATGCCGGTAACTGTTTTCAGTCCTATCGGTATCCTAACAACCTTTCTGGTACGGTAGAACCTACAGGAACATTAGTTCGAGCCATTTAGGCTAACATGATATGCAAGCCCTATCATCACATCAGTCGGGTTTTATCAATTACAGTAAGTTGAACTGATGGTCTCTTGTGCACCAATGTACTTTGTAAAAATTCAGTTCTTTTTCTCTGTGCTGTTTGAAATGTTCTACTATACTCTGTATAAGGAGTTAAGACATTCTGGAATAACCCAACCCTTACTCTTACGATTCGTTAACTCTTGCATCCTGCCTATTATTCTCTATTGTTCCCCCTCAGTTTTTTCCAGGGCTACTGAAGATTGACTATATCTTATTACGTAGGATGTTAAAGGTTGTCAGCAGGGTAAGCCACAGAGTGCCACTTAACCAGCTTGTTAATATTCTGGTTGACAGGCACTTGGACTTATGTGAAAAATGGGCTATATCCGTTCTATCTAACTCGCTCCATCCTCTTTATTCACAACTCTCCCCTTGTATCTCATCAGGCAGGCAGACCAGAAGCCTAGCAAGTACAAAAACTCAACCGTAGCCTACTTAGCTTGTGTTCTGTGCGACTCAGAAGAAAGCATTAGGCGTGATACCTATAACTTATTAAATAGTCAGTAGAACAACTGGATCTCGTCTTTCCAACTCATATCATTTATAGGTACAACGTTTTATTTCTTTCTATCTTTTTTCTGTTATGTGCTGCTTTGTTTCTTTCTTCCTTACAAACTCTACTTAAAACATTCTTCTTCGTTTTTTACACACTCTGTATATCTCGACCATTTTGCTATCGCTTACGCCAGTAAATATGCTAGTAGTATCTACTTTTCTAACACCTTCAAACACTCTGTTGACTTTTTGCTTTGTTACCGATATGCTAATATGTTGTTGTCAAAGAGTAACTGAGATTACCCATAATCTATGTAGAATTTTATTTATTGTTAACGTACAAACTGGATGCTCAATACTGTAGTGAAATGCTGAGAATTCCATCCTTTTTTCAATAGTTTGGTTTGTAATGGTTAGTTATGTTTTAACCCCTTGATCACGGATTGATATCAGTTGGAGAACCATTGAAAACCAGGGAGTACTGGACAGCTGCTGTTTCATCCTAGTTTGGGAATCATCGTCAATACGCACCCACTGGGATTCGAACCCAGGGCCTTTCGGTTACAAGGCGAGCTCGTATATCCTTCAGCCACTGGGATCCGATTCAATAGCTCATGAATTTTAGCTTTTATCAATTCGTGATTTAGCGCGACTCCAAGTCGTCACCGGTGAGGTCCAATTAGATGTCACGTGTGTGGATGAATGTTCCACCTACGACAATGGTTGGGGTCGCGCTAAATCACGAATTGGTGGAAGTTAGAATTCATGGGCCATTGAATCGGGTACCAGTGGCTGAATGGTATACGAGCTTGCCTTGTAACCGGAAGGTCCTGGGTTCGAAACCCAGTGGGTGCGTACTGCCGATGATTCCCAAACTAGGATGAAACAGCAGCTGTTCAGTACTCCTCGGTTTTCAGGGGTTCTCTAACTGATATCAATCCGTGATCAACTCGTGATTCCATTCTTTATTGGAATTACTGTTTTGGAATAAAGCAAATTATTATTATTATTATTAATAATGTCCTTTGCTAATAACTTGTAAATATATGTCAAATAGTATTGTATACGTCTTCCTGGGCTCAAACATGTCCCTTTTTTATTTCTCCCGTTTTTGTTTATTTTCAGTCACATATTTTAGGCAGTCATTTAATTCAAGTGAGTCATCTTAATATCAGTTCACAGAATGTTAATCAATCTATCCAATTGAATACACCATATGGTGATGGTGATGCTCTGACTACTGATAATACTACAAGTAGTGTTAGTCCTAACTCTAATGGTGATGATAATTTTAAGCAGAACAAAAACATGAACGATAGAATTCAATCAGTTGAGGCAGAAAAATCTCTACATGATCAACAGCCTACTGAAACCGAGGATGAGGATGATGACGGTGATGGCGATGATGACGATTTGAATGACATTGTCCATTATCAGTCAGAACGTTTATCACCAGTGTCGTTTGATCGTGGTACAGTGACTACAATCGATTCACATCTTTCTAGTATTATGGCACAAGATGAATATGATAATCAACGTGAAAATAGTATGATTACTAATCATAATCATAGTATTAGTACTACTACTAATACAGATAGAGATTCAAGTTGTTACTCTAAACACACTGGTGATGATGTTGGCTCAGTCGAATTCCCGAAATCTCCACCACACGCTTGTCTTGATATACAAAGTGATAATCCAGAAGATTGGGATTTAGATGTAGCTGATCGGGAACTGTTGGCTGCCGACGGTCTCCTCTATTTGGATCGTAGTCATCCGGTAAGTATACAACAGTGTGTATCATTTATTGGTCCTGTGTCATAATATTTTTTTAAACGTGACTGAAACACTATTTATATATATGAGACTGGATACGTTGGGGGTATAGGAAGCTCTGTAGCAACTATCATTAGATAGTTGGAAGAAATCGGCCATAGGAAGCCTTGGACCTAGGTTTCGTGTTATTTGGCGGAAGGGTCATGAGTTCCTTCAAAGTTGCAGGTATGCCTTGCTGACTGGTGAGTGCCAACTAGCAGGAAACCTCGGTCAAGCAAGGCTTCCTGTGGCTGATTGCCTCCAGCTATCTAATATCATCAAAGTGTAAATATATATATATATATATATACCAACAGTGGGGTTAGACAGGGTTGCCCAATCTGACCATCGATGACATTCTGGAGTCAGATCTGAAGGATGTGCATGAAGGTGGTGTAGATCTGCTACCTGGAGATAGACTTTTCGACCTAGAGTATGCAAACGATATCGTCTTACTGTGCGATAGCATTCAGGCTGCCCAAATCGCACTTAATCAGTTGGCGATCAGTGTTTGTAAGTATGGTATGTACTGTTGCAAAGTACTGTTACAAGATTAGCAGAAGCCTGTACCTGCACTCACTCTTGCCGTCAACCGCTTGCAATTGTTGATAAGTTTGTGTACCTGGGTAGTTGTGTGAGTGCTGGTGGAGGGGTGATGGATGAGATTTCTAACCGTATAATGAAGGCTAGGGCGGTATACATCAACTTGAGCTGCCACCTCTGGCGCCTGCCCAACGTTAGCCTGGCTGTCAAAGGTCGGGTATACAATGCTTCGGTGCGGGGTGCCCTGCTCTACGCCTGTGAAGCCTGGCCTCTCCGGGTGGACTGAGGATGTGCAGCGACTCAGTGTGTTCGGTCATCGCTGTCTCCGCAGGATTGCTTGCATTCGATGGCAACATCGCGTGAGTAATTCTGTGGTTCCGCAGCGTGTATTTGAACACAATGGAGATCACCATTCATTGAGTGTCGTCATCTGGAAACACCGGCTTCGGTGGCTTGAACATGTGCTGCGAATGTCACTCCGAAGGGTTCCGTACAGGTCTCTGTTCGCTAGCCCTGAGAGGGGATGGAAAAGGCGGAGAGGTGGTCAGTCCATGATGTGGCGTCGTGGGATGAAAGGTCTTTGTACTAAATTAACATCGGTTGGTGCGTCACGAATCCCTGGTTGGGGTCCGCTAGATAGCTCGATTCGATGGCTCGAAACTTTATCGGATATGGCCAAGAATCGTAGTCATCAGTGGCGAACGTGTTGCAATTTCCTTCTTTCTTCCCTTCCCAATGATAGTTGACGAATATTGTTTGAACTGTTTTCCTCTTCCCAGATGAAGTTCTTTATCCTTTCTCTACTTATATTTTTTACTTTTGATTTGTGTTGTTTCATTATTATTGTGTGGCGCATCTTTCTTGGTGCCATATTGTACCAAGGTTTTTATGCGTTTGAATAAATAATAAATAAATATACATCGTTGAAGGATATGACTGACTGAAGAGCAATCACTGCCAAGATACCGATATCGCTATTACCGCCTGATAAGTCTACAAGTATCTCTGACGAAACAGTAGTAGGAAGCTCCAACTGCAACACACCTAGTGCCTTTAAAAGGAGAAAGAGTAGTTAGGGTTGGGAACTCGCGTTAAAAGTTACTTTCTAATTCCTTGAACTTGAGGATCTAACCTCGCCCCCCATGTAATAAGACAGTAGGCAGTCACCGCGAAAGTTAGACGATGAAGAGGGTACTAGTGGGTGGTGCAATATAGTAACTCCATTATGGATAAGATTTTATTTTGATAAATCACACAGTGTTGTACAGGAATATTAACTGATGACCACCTTTCGAGCACAAATTATTCCTCATAATTATATGATGTGATTCATCCCATGTCAGCTAACATTGACCTGACTGTCAAGGAAGGCGATGGTTAGACAGATGTAACAATACATGCCCTAACTATCTTATTCCGTGTAACTTCACAACGTCGTTTATTGATTTTCCCTCGTAACCTAACACTCGATCGATGCCTAGCCTCAATATTACCCACCCTACTATACCACCTAACACGTGATGTAGATAGAACATAAACACCTATGGCTAAAGAAAACTAGCTGGTCTTTTCATCTGTTTCACATTCAGTGACCATGTCTCACTCACAGTCATAAAGGAGGACAGAGTGAACTGATGAGCAGTACACATGTATTTTGTTCGACAGCCAGCTGGATACCACGTCTACTAAGCCAGAGAAGACGTAAGTTGGCGAATGCCAAACAAGCCCTGTG